ACATATTTTCTTGGTATCATTTCTTAATTGGTCTGTTACATTATCATCGGATACTTTATACCAACTTGCGGCTATAGCAGTAAAAATATCCTTTTTCGTACGCATAACTTCTAATAATGCAGGGTCCTGTTCAAAGAAGAATGCAAAAAATTAAATTGTATATTAATAGCAGTGAGTACTTCTGGAATACCACGAACCTTCGATAAATGCGCTAATATGCGCATCTCTAGTTGACAAAAATCAATAGATATAAGCCAGCGCTTTGGATCTGTTGGGTAAAATGCACGACGACAAGATATTTCCAAATTATCACTATCTTCTCCTATTAATTCATAAAAAATACAATACAGAGTCAACTTTTATAAAAATATTATGCTTGCTCACCTGTATATACTTCAAAGTTCTTAGCAACATTTTGTAAATTTGGTTCCACCATTGATATGCGTCCAGTGGAAGTAAATGTGTTACTTTCTCCGAATATTCTGAAATTAAATTATTTATTTTCCAGAATACAACATCAACTTTCACACAAACCTATTGTTCTTAACACACTCCGATAGTGGTAGAATATTATTCGTGAAGATACTATTTACTTTTCTGTAGTTAATTATTAGTTTAGAAATAGGTGATTCTATTTTCTCTAAAATTTGCTTTGATGTGGTAATACGTTTACCAGATTTGAGATGTAATCCAAGCACCTTTTGTAATGTATAATAAAAATATATTAGTAATTTGTTTTAATAAATAAAATGATACTTCTACAAATGAATTGTATTGAAATGTTGCGATTAAAAATAAATATAATTAATTAATTAAATTATTCTAAAACTGTTTTATGATTTCGTTCTAATATAGCACAGCAAGTGAATTTGTTAATGAACTTTCTCAGCAAATTAACAAAATACAAAATTGCGAACATGTAAGCCAGTGCGACTTTGGATCAGTTGGTTTAAGAGCGCTGACTCTGAGCTTCAAATTTGGCAGGAAACGAGTTCAACCCTTAGTGTTAGCAATTCAAAAAAAACTATATAAGAATAATTTAATACAATAAATGATTCCAAGAACACTGATGATGGGTATTTTGATGAGTATTTGGCTATACTCGAAGCAGCAGTATATTCATCCAAAATTTTAATTAATTAAAATAATATAAAAACTAATTTTTGTTGTTAGGGTCTACTACTTTTCAAAATCTTTCTACTAAATAAAATGATTATATAAAAAACATCAGTTTCGGTTAGTTCTATGTTTGGGAACCACTTGTCAGTAACGATCAAGTGCCGCTTAGTCTCATCAGCATACCACACTAGGCTGAAAAAGATTCTCCAAAAACGTGACAATTACATGTGTTATAACAACAGTAACTAAATTTAACGAAATTAAAACTGGCGGGAGAGACGTGAGATCTACTTAGAACAATAATTTAATAGTTTAAACAACAGTGCATAAATATGTATAATGCCTAATATCGATTAAAATGAGGTAAAATGTACTTAAAAATTGAATATATATTTACAAAATAGGGAGAAAAGATTTGTCTTAAATGAATTTGATTATTTACAGAAGAACAGAAGTAAAAATCAAGGAAATTGAAAATATGAAAGCTTCCAATAAAACTGTAATAGTCATTTCCATTTAGTTTATTACGAGGGCGGTTTGATAAGTCAGTGACTTTTCGAATAAAACAAATTTTCTTCGGCAAATAAACTTTTTATTTTTCTACTTAATCACCTTTTAGCTCGATACATTTAGTACATTAAGTCTAATTTTCATATTCCCTCCAAATAATAGGTTTTCTCAAAACTCTCAAAATACGCGTTAGTTTCGTTAATGACTTCTTCATTCGACTCAAATCTCTTACCGCCCAGCCATTTCTTTAGGTTTGGAAACAGAAAATAGTCGCAGGGGGCTAAATCTGGAGAATATGCTGGATGGGGTAGCAGTTTGTATCCCAATTCATGGATTTGGGATCGTAATGCTTAATCAGCACACGAAATTCACTTTTTCACTGCGCGAAAAATTCAAAAAGTCACTGACTTATCAAGCCGCCCTCGTATTTATGGGAGTATATACATCACGAATCTTAAAACTAAAAGGTATAACCATGACTATGTCCAGTGTATTACTATGTAGCGATATGTGGGCATGGCTTTGTAACCAATAATTGGTTACGAAGGAATTTGAGAGGCTGTAAGTTTATGCACAAAAATAAATACAAGACTATGTCGTTGGATAAATTCAAGTAAATCTTTTTATTATGTTTTGATGATGTTCAGAAAACACGTGCTAACGCAATGTTACTCTATTTAAGGCCTAAATCTCCGGTGCAAACATTTAAATTGAAATATCAGTATGGAAAAATCAGATATGGAAAAAAAAATAAATGTATTAGATGGACACAATCTAATACAATAAATAAATAAATATATACTTTCATTATCTACTGTCTTTGCATACAAATAATCTATAAAGCAGTTAAAGTTTGATTTCGGAAAGCATACAATACACTATATAAATATAGATATTTATTTAAAACTTACTTTCGCCACCTCCGAAGATGAAGTAAGATTAAATCGCCTGCCATGCGTTTCATATATTGTTGTTTCCAATTTTCTCTGAAGACACAACAATTTTTTTATTAACATGTGCAGTTCAGACTCACTTGTAGGAAAACCAATCGTTTCCATGTTGCAAAGTGAAAGCTGCAGTGGCATTTCAGTTTCTGTAATAAATAATTTAAAAATTAAGAAACTTTCCATTGGAATACTAATTAAACAATAAATTTACTTAAAAAAAATTGATGTAAAGAACCGTTTCCGATTTTCTTCAATTTTTCAATTTGCTCTTTTAAAATATGGATAGTGCAACAGGCTTCTATTGAAGATCTGAAATGCATATAAGAGGTTTACAAATTTTAAAAAAATAAATAATGTATATAAAAACAGATTAAATTTTAATTAGATTATATCCATTAATATTACTATTATTACTATCCATTAATATTAATATTACTAGGTATACATTACTTTTTGATACAAAAATATAAAATAAATATGAAAGAAAGCAAAGCAAAATTTTTATCATCAATGCTCCGTATTTGAAAGTATAGAGATTAATCCGAAATCAAGTACAATTGATTATTGTAGTCAATTTTTTTAATAGAAAAACTTATGTAAAACATATTTTATATAGAGAGTAAAAGTGCTCAACAAGTGCACTAACTCAACTAGTCGCAAAATAATAATAGAAATGAAAACATTACCTAACTTTGGCCGATATACCATTATATTTATCTAAGCCATAGCTTTTTGTTCCCCTCCCGCTATTTCCACACAGACCAATTAATCCAGTGCATTCCGGAGCAAATTGATGAACCTTTTTAAAGATTGAAATGTTATATTATTTACAATATTTTATTTATTACCAATTGATTTACCATTTGTTTGAAAGTTACTGTTTTATCTGGTTGAAGTAGCCAATTTGCTACTTTTGGATCTCCGAACTCAGCACAAATTTCTCCTAAATCTGGCAGAAGTTTACGTAAAGTTTTTAATTGTTCCTTAGCATCAAATATCAGCAAAGTATTTTCTTTTGCTTTAAGTATCATATGCAGGTATTGACACTTTAGTTTTGTGGTCACTGCAGCATTCGATTCCTTTTCCTGCATGTTCATATAGTAAATTATATTGTCTGATACGCAAAAAGCAATGCCAGCTAAAAAGCATGCACTATCAATCTGAAAATTTGCCATATCCATTGTAGCTTCAACTTCCTCTTTTGTTAAATCTTGATTAATAGCTGCGTTTGCACCTATAACAGGTTTTTGTTTCTCCAAAATATTCTCCAAGCCCAAACAGAAACCAAAACATTTAGAAGTCATCAACTCTTCAAAAGTTGATTGGAAAATTTGTATATTACCACAAATATCTACAATCTTCACACATTCAAAACTAGAAGAAGTTGTAGCATTATTACTAACACTTGTAGCATTAATATGTGATGGATCCATTATTAGACAACCTTTAATCGATGGATCAGATATTTCAATCGAAACACCTGTTGAATTCTCAGTATTATGTACATTATTATTAGTTTCTAAACCCGAGTTAATTTCCGATTCTTTAAAGGTTGCACGTCGTGTACGTATTAAGCGAGATCTGAACGGTGTTTTCTCAAGTTCTTTATTTTCTGCTAGTTGTGAATTAGGTATTTCATCATCATTATTCATATTTAAAGTTTCTTTTTCTTCGACGATAGGAGTAGCATTTGTTTCTGTTAATTTAATATCCAGCATTTGAGCTATGCCCGTGTTCAGCTGAAAGGAATCATCTGTGATTAACAAGTCACTCATATGTGTTTTTTGCTCCATGATAGCTTTTGTTGAAGCAGCGGTGTTGGAAGTTCTTTCTGTGGAGTGCTTACGTTGATTTTGATGTGATCGTGTTTCCAAATAATGTGTATGTGCAACACTGTTTTGTATTTTAATATTTGATTTATCGATATCCAGTACTTCAGCTATGCCCGTGTTTAATTCAAAAGATTCGTCTGTCATTAACATGTCATTCATATTTTTTGTTGTTCCTTTTGAATGATTACGTCGATTGCGGCATGGGTTTGTTGCCGAATTTTGGGAATACGTTAGACCCATTTGTATTTCATTTTTGTCTTGTACATCTTTTTTTTCGCTATCGATATTCAGTACTTCAGCTATGCCCGTGTTTAATTCAAAGGATTCGTCTGTCATTAACATGTCATTCATATTTTTTGTTGTTTCTTTTGAATGATTGCGTCGACTGCGACGAGGTATAGTCACCGAATTTTGTGAATGTGCCAGACTCTTTTGTATTTCATTGGTATTTTTTCCGTTTTCATTTGATTTATCGATATCCAGTAATTCAGCTATGCCCGTGTTTAATTCAAAGGATTCATCCGTCATTGATACGTCATTCATATTTTTTGTTGTTTCTTTTAAATGATTACGTCGACTACGACGTGGTATTGTCACCAAATTTTGTGAAAGTGCCAGACTCTTTTGTATTTCATTGGTGTCTTTATCATTATTATCTCCTCTGTCGATATCCAGTAATTCAGCTATGCCCGTGTTTAATTCAAAGGAGTCGTCCGTCATTGATACATCATTCATATTATTTGTTGTTTCTTTTGAATGATTACGTCGACTACGACGTAGTATTGTCACCGAATTTTGTAAATGTGCCAGACTATTTTGTATTTCATTGGTGCTTATACCATCTTTATTTGTTTTATCAGTATCCAGTACTTCAGCTATGTCCCTGTTTAATTCAAAGGATTCCTCCGTCATAGATACGTCATTCATATTTTTTGTTGTTTCTTTTAAATGATTACGTAGACTACGACGTGGTATTGTCACCGAATTTTGTGAAAGTGCCAGACTCTTTTGTATTTCATTGATGTCTTTAACAGTTTTATTACCAGTTTCATTAACAGTAGTTTGAGTTTTTTTCAAATTTGGACTGAGTCTTGATAATGATATCGTTGTAACCGTTTGTGGTTCTATTTCAATGCTCTTAATTATTTGACCATCATTGACAACTGAGATGGGTTTTTTCTTCTCAGACGTGCGTAAATTATATTTTTTATTATCTATTGTTTTCTCATATTTACTTAACTCTTCTTTGTTGTTAATTGTAGATTCCTTTATCAAATTAGTAGATTCCTTTATCAAATTAGTTAATTTTAACTCGGAAAATTGTTTTCCTACGATATCCCCATTATTAGTTTGTTTATTATTATTTCCCGAACTAGTTATCATTAATTTTTCACCAGATGTCTCTTTAATTTCTTTTTCCAGTGTATTTATTTTATGTAAAGTTTCTTTCGCTTTTGCACTAGTACTTGGTTTATCATTTAGTTCCGTACAGAGCTCAATAAGATGTTTTTCTTTACTTTCTATAGATTTTGCTATTTTAAGTTGACTTGTATTTAAATTTTCTGAGGATTTTCTTTTTCTATTGCAAACTTTTAAATTTTCTTCTTCGTATGACATATGGATCCGATCTGTTTCCAAATCATTTTTTGTGTTTTGCGCCCAATTAATAGTGCCCACGCCAATTTCATATTGTACAAATCGTCTCGCTTCTTGCACCAATAATTTTGCGGCATCTGCTACAGTTATTCCAGATTTGCCGGTTATGTAGAAATTTCTTAGCACATTACGTTGTTCGGCTTCATAAACATTTTCATTTTCATGTTGTTTTGCAGAATCAAAACTTAATAAATTGTGCATTATTTTCTCCACAGAAAACACATCAGCATTTGCTAATTTAACAATTGACGTTAAACCGGCGTCGTAAAGAGCACGAGCGCGCTTGTAATTTAAATCAGGTAAACGCATCAAATCTATTAAATCTCTATGTATACCAAAGTATAAACGCTCCTTAAATTGCGACAATATTAGTGAAAGTGTTGAAAACTCTAATGAGTTACAAAAAGCTGTTACGATTCCCGCAAATGTGGATGAAATTTGCTGTAATCCTTGCAACATACCACGTGTGCACTTGTACTTAAATGCCACTTGTTTAATTGGTATTTCTTCAATGAGTTCTTGTAGAGCTAAAGCGGTATAGAATCTGTAATTGGTAAAAAATTAAAAAATTAATAAATATTAATATATATTATCTTATAAAAACGAGTATACCTCTTGTGTATTTGCATTTGTTTATAATCTAATTTAGTTTGTTGACGCATTGCACGAACTAGAAAAGATTCTTTCACTCCAACTAATTCGCCGACTTTTTTCATAGCTGGTGTCAGGTGTTCCCATAAATCAAGATATAGCAACCAGTCTAAGTCTTGTAATTGATAGCATACAGAATATGGGGTTACTAAGTATACAGCGTGTAGTTCTGATTCTAATACAAAGCAGTGTCTTGCCGTTTTTAATTCAGCAAACAGTAATAGACCATCAGCTGGTGGCATAGATGACGCTAAAAAATTAGATGGTTAATATTAAGAATGAAATAATATGACATATTTATAGAAA